TGGAATGCTGAGGCAGGAGGATTATGGCCCAGACTGGGAAAACAGCAACTCAGTGAGAACCTGTCTCAAAAAAAAGATCTGGGACTACAATTCAGTACAAAGGACTTCATTTCAATTCCCAGTACTGCAAAACCAACACCAAACTAAAATCGATGTGCAAATTTAGTAGCAATCAGCGCAGTTCTAATTACAACATTCAGTGTTAAGCACAGGCACAACAAAGCAGGGTTGTCAATGCAGAGCTACTAGCAGGGAGAGGTCTTGGGATATGTAGCTGAAGTCTGACCAAGGCTATGCCCAGCCCTACACCGAGAGCTGGTAGAGACTAGTAGGGGCGAACCTATCACACATGTACTGCGGCAGGCTGTTTGTATCGTTGAAAGCTCTCAAAGGTCTGCCAACAACGGCACTAGCAGAATTTCCTTACAAAAAAGAGAAGGGGAGGGAAGGGAGGAAAGAGTTTTTGAAAAACTCAATTTTCACAGCAAAAGAACAAAATTTAAACTCTCAGAAAAAAAGTAGCATTCACAATGGACAGCATATAATAAGAAACTTCTAGAGCTAAAGCAAGAAAATGTGGCTAATAATTAAGACAAAGAAGTGCAGGAACGCACACACAGATGGCACACTTGTGGGATGGGGCCAGGGGGACTTTGAAACAGCCTCTCTGAATGCGTTCCGTTTTGGGGACTCATTCACCAGGTAGATTTCTGAAGATGGATGAAACGTACCCAAGGGAAGGGAGCTCATCAATGCATTTTTCAACAATGCATCTCCAGAATCCGACAACTTGTCTCCCTCTCTCCGCTGTCACCAGGAAACACATCCCCTTGCATTGCTGTAACAGCCTCTGAACGGGATTCCTTCCCCTCTTTATCCCCTGCAATCCATTCTCTTGGGCCCTCTTGAAACAGAAACCATACTTTCTTGCTCCTCTGCTCAAAATCTACAAAGGTTCATGACTCAATTAGAACAGAATTCTACAATCAAGATCTGATCCTCTGCTGTCCTTTATCCTTATCTCTTACTTCTTTCTTGCTTAATCACTCCACCTCAGCCAACTGGATTTTTAAAATCGTTCCTTCACTATTACAGCCATGGTCCTGGCACAGGGCTTTGCACTGTCTGAGTATCCTGTTCTTCTCTTTGGCTGCACAAGAACTTCAAAAATCATAGCAATAATAAGCTTTTAAGGATGTGGACTGGATAATGGTGACATTATTAGAAACTTGGGTTTCACTAGAAAGAAAGCAAAGGACTCCCTTGTAGGGTATGTAAGACATTCAAAACATTTGCTATCAGCCTCAGCCATGGTTTCAGTGTTTGCCACCCCAAAATTCCTGTGATGGAAACTATGTTAGTCATTTTTTCATCTCTGAGACACAATACCCAACACCTACAACTTAAAAGAAGAGAGGTTTATTTATTTACTTATTTATCTATTGGTATCAGGGATTGAACTCATGACTTTGCATTTGCGAGGCATGCGCAGTGCCACTGAGCTAAAGCCCCAGCCCAGGACAGGTTTATTTTGGCCTCCATGTCAGTCCATTGGCTGGTTCCAAGGCAGAACAGCATGGCAGGTGTGCATGGTGGTGAGGAAAGCTGCTCATGGCCTAGTGATCAGGAAGCAGAGGGAGTTTCTAGGGCAGAGCTGGGCAAGGAGACAAACTCATCCATGCTGCACTCCTCTTCCAGCAGACCTCACCTCCTAACTGCAAGTCCACTATGAGCCCCACAGTCCAGTCACCTTCTAAAGCTCTGCCTAAGAGTGCATGAAGCTCTTGGGGGTCATCTAGATATAAACCCTAACAGAAACCTAAGCTCCAGCGTAACAGGGTTGGGAGGCGGGGCCTGAGAGGAGGCGTGTAAATTATAGGGGCTCTGGCCTCATTCATCGCATGGCTGGATCAATGCTCCTGTGAAAAGGATTTGTGAAGTGGGTTCTCTGCCTTCTGACAGGTGAGCACAGAGAGTTCCTCCTCTCCAGAGCACCCGGCCGCAAGGCACCACCTTGGAACCGGAAATCAAACCTTCCAGTGCCTTGATCCTAAACTTTCCAGCCTTGAGAACTGTGAGAAATAAATTTCTGTTCTGTACAAATTACCCAGTCGCTGGTATTCGGCTACAATAGAAACAGAACGAGAAAACAGACCAAGACAGTGTCCTGAAGAATTTAATGGGCAAGGCAGTAAAGCATTGCTCGAGGAGACTGCATCAGGAGAAATGCACAGCTACTGACAGCTCCAGGGAGCATCGCTCTCAGGATGCCCTGAGCATTTAGAAAAAAAGCTTTGGTTCTCTTTCACTTTCAAAGGAGCAAAACCACCCCTCACTGAATGAGTTTAACAAAATTGGTAAACAAGAAACAGTTCTAAAGATGATTAGTTTTAGTTTGGTTAAGTGCTGTCGAGTGAATCCTTCATGCGCCAGAGTCTAATAAGGAAACAAACGTCGGTCTGCGTGGGAGCGGAGCGCTGGTGCGAACGCTAAGTGCTCTGAGACCTGTGTGGAGCGTATTTATCCATTCGCCTGCGGAAGGACAGCGCGATTGCTTCCAAATCTTGGCAATTATGGGGCATGTGTTCATGTGCTCATTTGCTATCTATGTATCTTTACTGGATAAGGTCTTTGCCCTATTTCTTAATTGGGCTGTGTATTATCTTATTCTGGAATTTTAAGAACTCCGTATATTTTCGACAGCAGCTCTTTATCAGGTATGTGTTTCGATAGTATTTTCTTCCAGTCTGCACCTTGTTATCTCATTCTCTCAATCATGTCTTTTGAAGAAGAGAATATTTTAATAAAATATTGTAATGAAATCCAGTTTATCAATTCTTTTGTTCATGGACTACGCCTTTGATAGTATAACCACTACATGCTTTTCCTCCTCTTTTTTTTTTTTTTTCTGTGCAGGTGGCTTAGCATTTTCCTCTTTACTCTTTACATCTTATTTGTGTAAAATAATATTTAAACTTTTGTCCACTTTGAAAATACAGAGGACTTTCATTTTGTGCAACTTTTACTTACTATTTCACTTTCTCAGCTGAAACTAAAATTTGCTGCTTTTCCCTGGATCTCAACCTTGGCAAGGACACAGACAAAAATACCAGCACGTTCCAGCAGACCTGATACAGATGTAGCAGGCAATGCACTTCTGGAGCCTCGAGGAGGAAAAAATCAGCTGCAGACACAGAAGAAAGGAGAAGGAAAGTTTAGAGAAAGGGTGACTTTCAGCCCAGGGTGGGAAGAGGGCAGAAGAGCTGCAGAGAGAGCAGACAGAGGAGAAGGGCAGATTCAGACAGGAGCTGAGTGCTCTTCCAGAGAGACGCGCTGGGGGAAGGCAACTCAGGCACATGCCCACCTCTGTCAAACTCAAGACTGAGAAAATTGCAAGTGAACATCGTCAGCGTAGAGGGAAAGCTGGTGGCTTGAAGGGCAGCAGGATCATTTGAAGTAACCGTTGTAGCATCTTCAATATAAACAAGAAATAGCTCAGAGAACTGAACAGAGTGAAAAGCACAAAAAATTAAAGATGGACTGAGAAAATGACCCTGTGCATGCTGCTGGTGGCAGGCACCACACTGCTGCCTTTTGGCTGGGTCTGATCCTGAGCCTTCGTGGGGCTCTCCTCCAGGGCCCCTGCCTCCTTTATGCTAAGGTCTGAGTCACTGCAGAATCTCAGGTTTGATGATATCTCCAAGCCCTTTATTTACACATCACCTCTGGCCGCTTTTGGATCCTCTGGAGTAGCCCGCCCTTGCTCTCAGCCATCCTGAACTTGCCTGGCGTCTTCTAGCCCTTAGCCTGCCCGATTCTGGACAGACTTCACAGATGCCACCTGGAGAAGTCTGCTTTCCCCAGATCCAGATGGACTTTCTAGCCATTGTCAGGATCAATCCACCAATTAGTGAAAAGGGGTGATATTGCTGTAAATGACGAAACAAAACCTTACAGAGCCAAAGCCACCTGACCGTGTAACAGCAGATCAGAACTTGGAAGCACCACCTATTCCAGCTGCTTGTGTTACACCTCTTGTTGTTGGCTTTGTTTTCTTTTACTTTATTTTAATGAAAAGGACTATTTGATTTAGAGGTAGAATAATAATATTCTTCAAAATTGTTGTTCGCAGGGGCAATGTTTAACATTTTTGAGAGGGTAAGCTGGACAGGAACTGTGTGTTCCCACACTGACTAGAAAGAGCAGATTCCTAGGAGCCCAACTGCGCACTGAGACTGGCATCCTTCACAGTTGGTGAAAATTATAACAGAGAACACAACACCGGTTTCCATTAACACAGATGACCTATTTTCTGAGGACCCCAGAGCTTATAATGAACACCCACTTGTCAATTTCCAAGTTGAGGCAATGCCCTGTTCCTGGTGCCCACGGTTCTCTGCATGTGTTAATCAAGCCAGGGAGTCACCTGGAGTTGGAAGAAAAGTAGACTCCCACACAGGTTCACATTCAGGGGTCACCTGATCGCTCCATATGCACCAAGCATAGGGCAGGTTCCTGTAAATGTGTCACCAAGACACAAGGTCATCACCCACCTGGGAGCCTTTCAAAGTGAATGCAATGGCCCAGCCATGCTGGGTCACCTGGGTGCTTGGTAGAAATGTGGTTTCCTGGCCTTGACTCAGGTAGGCATTTTATTCCCACAAACTGCTCCTGAGCAATGGCCATGGTTTTCATGATTCCTGTGGTGGTAACCAATATCGTCACGTTGGGGCCTCAGTGACAAGAGGTGTGCTACCTTTTCAACAGCTTTTATTTTTCCAGGGAGTTGGGCCCCACATTCCTTATGGGGAGGGAGTCTTGGTTCTGAATAGAATTTTCTACCTGAGTGCATCTATCTTTTTATAAGAAAAACCAAATTGTACGCATTTCTGATTGGAAAAACTTAATTTCATATTTAAATATATGCAAATTACAGAGAAAACACATGTCAAAGTTGCTCAGGATGTCAAATCCCAAAGGAAGCAGTTTGAGAGGTTTGGTGATCTTTTTTTCTTTTATCCTGGTACTATTTTTTCTGTAGTATTTTTCCAAATTTAAAAGCCTTTTGAGCCCCTTTAAAGCAAGCATGATGGCCAGTGGAATGAGTAGATGTATTTCCAGGCCTGGGCCATCAGCAAGGGAGGGAGAGAGGCACTGACAGCCCAAGATGAACAGGGTATGACAGGAGCCCTAAGGGCACAGGGACCGGGACATTCATTACAGACTGTGACAAACTGGGAAATCGAGTAAGGCTAGCAAGGAGGTGACCTCTGAGTAGAATCTTAAAGATTAGGTCTAGAATGTCACCAGCGAACAATGGGAGCAAGGACAATGTGTCAGGAACATAGGACAGATGGAACAGAGGTGCCCCAAACGCTACGGCAGGCTGGGCTTAGGGAGTCCACACCTTCTGCCAGGGTTAGAGGGGAGCGTGGCAGGGAGTCACAGCTGCCACATGGAGGCAGGAGAAGAGCTCTGTAGCAGGGCTGCCCAGCAGCTCTCCGCCATTGGTAGACAGGGCTGTGCCAGAGACCACAGTCAGATGGCACTTTCTGCTTTTCCACTCTCACCTTGCTGTTCTATTGATTTTTTTCTCATTTTCATTCTCACTTTTCATCTTTGCACCTTTAGAGAGGAAAAAATTAAGTAAATTTAAATTTATTTACATTAACAAATTTAAATAAAAAGTTAAATTAATTAAAATAATTTGAATTTAAATTAAGCTTCCCTAGAATGATAGGGAGAAGACTGTGTTGGGTTGGGCTGAGCCTTCCTATTATGGGGTTCAACTGTTTTTTTTACAGCCTTCCCCAGGTTAGAAAGCAATTTTCATTCCATCAGTGGGGTAACCCCCCGGAGAATGCATGTCTTATTGGGTGGGCCTGTACAACTAAACACACACATATTTGATCAGAACCTATAACGTCCTGCATTTTTCTAGTTAAAACTTCAGTATGAGTTATAAACACCATCCATTTAGGGCATAGATAGCATATGCTTCTGGAAGGCAATGGAGGAATCTCAGATACTAACCTTGGGCTCATTTAGAAGGGAAACATTAGTCTGTGAGTGATTTTTTATTCAAAGGGGAATGTAAGCCTTTACTGTTTAATTGCTCTTGTACAAAATGTCCTGGGACTTTCCAAAAAGCATCGAATAATAATAAAAATTTTAAATGGCAGTGCTGCTTTAGGGGGAAGTCTGGAGGGAAGTACAGTATGTGCATAATACGGCCGCATGAGGCTCTGATTCAAGACGTTGGCCGGGGATTCAGGGAAGCCATGCATGGATAAGATGAGAAATTGCTACTTAAAGGGACATCGCAAGACAGCTATGATAGATGAAGTTCAAGTTAGAATTGTTTAACCTCAAGCAAAAGCAAGTAGAGCTTCCCTGCTACGGGAAGACTGAGACCTGAGTTGACCCAGAGTTCTTGCTGATTTCCAGCTGGAAAATCTGTTTCCTCCTCTGCAGGTTAAAGGAATCCTTTATCATTCCTTTCCTCTTCATAATCAATCTTTAGTTTTCTTAGCAAATTAGAAAAGAGTGCCGGACCTCTGTAGTTCTGTGAAGAAAGAAAAACAAACAAGAAATGTATAAGCACTGCAGTTCTGAACTGGCCTCCTAGACGCAAATTTCCTAAACCATCGCAACCCTCTGGGGGATGCAGCAAGCCCTGTGCATCTAATTTGCACCTCAGGAAGCAAGGCCCTTCTTCCTGGAAAATAGATGAGGAAGTAATAATGTAACTTGGACATTCTCTTTTCTTTCTGGGAGAAATAGATAACTTCTCAACTTTACCACGAGCGTAGACAGTATTTCTCATGCACCCACTTAGAAAACAACCAAAGGACAAAAGGACCCCCCTGCTGCTTCCCTGGTAGGAAGCTTCTCCTATGTGTGCTACCATTCCAGAACTGCCTCTCGTTCGTTCTAGATCTGACGACCTCAGAAAGAGGACTGATGGCTGGGGTCTGGGTCCTTCCCTGCACACCCGGCACATTTGTACACCACCCTCTCCCAGCGCCTGCTTGCCTAGATTCCACACCCGCATCCTCACCTGCTCCCTAAACTCCAGGGAGAAAGAAGTCGAAACAGGCTGCTCTTCTGGAGCCTGGCCTTCTGGATGCCCTTGCCCTGGACGTTTGTAGCCGGGACCAAGCCCCAGCTGACTGTCCGCTCTGGGTGAGCCGAATCTCCAGGAGCAGAGCACACCCCGAGTGTGGACGCCGCTGTTCTGCAGCCATGACCTAGTTCTTTCCAGGCTCACTCTGCGTGTTTCCAGCACTGCTGCTGAGACAGACCCACGTTTTGCCCTTCCAGAGGGAGCATCCTAGGGCTCCGGCTCTGGAGACGGGGCCTGTGAGCTGCCTGTGCTCCCTCTAGTGGCACTGCGAGAACACAACACAGACGTTCAGACCGCGATACAGATGACAGAGGAGTTAGCTGCTGCAAAATGTTTTCAAGAATCAGGGTCAACATCTTTTCCAGAGTCACTTGTTTTTCAAATTTTAAAGACTACACAGTATCAGGAAAACCTTACCTCGTCACTTAATGAATGTTTAACTATAATCCGATTTGGAGTTTAATATTCTGGAATCTTTTTGAAAAACGACTTCACTTTAAAAAAAAAAAAAAGCTATAATTCAGACAAATATACATAGGAATGCAAAAACTGTATTCCGAGAGGTGGTTTTACAGCGCAGCAAGCAGAATGGGTGTGCTTCCCACGTGAACGGAGACCTCGGGATCTGTGCTCTGTGCAGCCAGCCCTAACCCCAGCACAGAGCTGTTCGGTGTGTTGTGTTTCTGCCTCCCCTAGGCACATGCTGCAGATCCACATTGCTGAACACCCCCAGAAGGGCTCTGCCCTTCTCACTGAAATGCTGTTTGTTCAGCTCCCAGCACTGCCCTGCTTGCTCCTTTATTACTTAGCAAAGGTTTGCAGGTAAACTCCTCCTGGGCCCTTCGTGCTGGTGCAGATGGCCAAATGAGTCTGTGTCCTTTGACAGGGTTTCAGGAGGGCTCACCCTGCCTTGACATCATCATATTTCCTTTATATCTGGAATCCTTCCTTCAAACTTCAAGGTACTTTCTAAAAAACTGAGTCATGCCCTTGGGTGAAGGAATTGGACTTTATGACCTTGTTAAAATCAAAGGAGGAGGAGGGACAATATAAACAACAAATGAGGCTTTGACCTATGTCAAGCCTGACCTAGGTCAGGGAGAGACAGTACAGGGCAGCTCGAAGGGCACTGGCGGTCAGGAAAGGCCCTGTCTCTGCAGATCTGCAGCCTCCCTGGAGCAGGGCTGACCCAGGAGTTATTCTGTCTGACGTTCTCCTCCTCCTTTCCTGCTCTGTCGGCTTCTCCCTTCCCCCACACTCATCTCCTGGGTGGCGTCTGTTTTCCTGTGGACTTAGTGGGCACACTCTGGACCAAGAGAGCCCAGACATAATCGGGGATCCTACACATACAGAAATATTAGAGGGGTTATGAAAAGCTTCCTTCCTTCCTTTCTTTCATTTATTTTGTGGTACTGGGGATTGAATCCATTGTCTTTACACTGAGCTACATCCCCATTCCCAGAACTTTTAATTTTTTTGGTTTGAAATAGGGTCTTGCTGAGTTGGTTAGCAGGGCTTGAATTTGCAGTCCTCTTGCCTCAGCCTCCAAAAGTGCTCAGATTAGTCGAGCATCACCACACCCAGCTGAACAGCTTTTCTTTACAAAGCAGTAGTGACCACAGTAATGTCACTAAACCTTTTGGTAGCAACCCACATACATTCTCACCCACACAACTGGTGTGACTTGTGCGGAGGACAATGCTGTAGCTTCTGTTGGATCTAAATTCCTATAGGATTTCGCTAGCAGCAGAGCCCATCCTTGAGGTCACACATTCCATAGAGCTTACTGAGGGCTTCCTGTCACCTGACACATCTCAGAGCTCGAGCTGTACCCATGTGCTCAGCCTGTGAGGGCACTGTTACCCCCACCAGCCGGCTCATGGCCAGCCGCAGGCAAGGCCACAAAGGCAGAGGCCCTGGGGTTTGAGCACAGGCTGTAGGTCCCAGAGCCTGCTCCCGACGTTCTGCCTCACGGGACATGGCAGCCATCTGTGCCAAGTGTGCTGTGTACGGGGAGGACGCCAGGCCACTTTCTCAGAGACCAGGCAGCAGTGTTGCTTGAGTTTGTTTCCTACTATCACCACTGGCTTTAGTGACCTTCTCATGTAGTCGGTATCAGATCTTCTTAAAACCTCCTGCTGCCTCTTTCTCTCTCTCCCTCTCCCTCTCTCTCTCTCTCTCTCTCTCTCTCTCTATTTCTCTCTCTCTCTCTCTCTCTCTCTGTGTAGAAGGCAGTCATAGCTGTGCAATGGTAAACATTGCAACTGAAACGCTTCTCAAGGTCAAGTTACTCAAAGGACACAGACATATCATCTCAGAGCACAGCCCCAACTCACAGAAGAGTGGACCCCTACTCCAGGGATTTCTCCACAGGGAAAAGAGCTACCTTAGATGCACTCTGTAGTCGAGGTAGACTGACAGAGGGCAGAGGACCTGGAAGCCCATCAGCCTTTGGTCCACATTCCAACTCCTGCACTAACCTAACTAGGAGGCAGCCGCAGAGTCTGAGGTTCTTGGAACCTCAGCCACCCTGTTGCCTCGCCTGCTGCCTCCCTGAATCTCACTCCTTATACGTAGATTAAACAGGTGGATGCATGATCCCATCTATATGAGATGCCAGCGAACACGGGGTGTAGTGAATGGATAACAGTCACCCTCACGCTCCTTCCCTGATTTCTGCAGCGTCCTCTCCCAGGACCCAACACCACCCACCACCTGTACCTTTCAGGGGTGAACAGATCTCACTGACATCCACAAGTGATCTTCTCACCCACGGGGGTGTCACGGTGTGGCCAGATGTTGCTCCTAGCGGAGGATCAAAGGTTCTGCAGAGGAGCCCAATACAAGAAGCCCCATTTGTGTCCTCCCAAGTGTCACTCAGGCTTGTGGTCAGGGTGAGGACTGAATTGCCAGGGAGATGGATCGCTTTCTCGGCCTCTGAGAGGCACATGGAGAAGTATAGGGAGGTGATGTGGAACGAGTGGTCAGGGAGGCAGAGTTCCCAGCCTCCACTCTGTTACCTCACTCTAGCAGTTTCCACAATGGCAACAACAGTAGCTGTCCCAGCCTGCTTCCCTAAGGAGTGCTAGCGGGATACTACTGGTGAAACATTGGGGTTCGCCTTAGGGAAATATGCCTGGGGCTCACACAACATACATGTTGATGGTTTTGGAGATTTTATTTTATTTTTTTTTAACCAACCCTAGAGCCATACGAAGTTAAAGCAGGCCTGGAGAAAATCATGAAGTACAGGAATCCAGAGAAAATGCTGCTGGGCCTTGCCAGGGTCCTACCACCCTTCCACCCCGAATCTCTTCCACATAGCTCTCCTAAGGCCATCATCCGCGGTACAGCTCCCGGGGCTGGGGTCTCACCTGCTCCCCACCTTGAGTCATCTGCTGCAGCTGCAGCCCAGTTGCTATAGTTTTGTGTGTCTCCTCGCATCTCCCTTTTGTAGCTCCATGTTTTCAGTGTCATGCATCCTCTCCTACACCTTTCCTCCATTTTCCCGATTCCTTTAATCGCACCAAAAGACAAGCCTGGCTTGTGATGAGATGTCGCTTTGCTAGAGCAGGTACCTTTCTCGGTAAAGGGATAAAGCCTGACAGAGGGAGTTGGGGCCCCCATCCAGGGACCTGGAGAGGGGCTAAGAGATGCAGGACCCTGCTGAGGAGGGGCCACACCAGGGCTCCTGGGGCTGGGTTGCACTCCATAGTGGGAAGCTTGCTCAGAGTTCTGGCCTTCTCTTGCCATGTGCTTTCCACGGTGTGTGGCACCTCAGAACTTGTGAAGGTGGCTCTTGAGACCCATAACTTCACGTTAATACTTCTTATTATCAGCTGCGGCAACTTACAGCCATAGCAACCTTGGCCAAAAGAAAATAACAAGTAGCCCCATGTAGCCAGGTGATATGAGGTAAAACAAGGCTGAGATTAAACCTTTCATAAAGAAAGACTCAGGAAGCAGGACTGTAAATAAAGTGCCTCCCAGTCTATACTCAGAGGCTGAAGCAGAATGTCTTAGTTACTTCCTCAGTGCTGGGGCAGAACACTTAACAATCGTAAGTAGAAGGCAGGATGGTTTGCTGCGGCACAGTTTGCAGAGCTTTCAGTCCTTAGCTGGATGGCTCTCAGGCGGGGCAGCAAGGCAGACAGAGTTTGTGATATGGTAGTGAGAAGCAGAGTGGAGGTGAAAGGTGGAGGAAGGGTAGATGCTGTTCCAGGCAAAGCCCACACGGACCCACCTCTTCCAGCAGGCTTCTCCTCCCCACTTCACACCCAGCCATAAACCTGTCAGTGAGGTAATTCAGTACCACATACCCATGACCCGCAATCACACACTCATGATCCAGTCTCCTCCCCAAAGCCCCACCTAGGAGGGCATTGGCCCTGGGGAGTCATCTAGATATAAGATTTAAAACTGACTGCCTGGCTTAAGGTGTGGGCCAGAGCCTGCGGGATTGTTCTACTGAAACCACAGAGTCATTGCAGAGCCCTTGTTGCAGAGTCAACTCTAAAGGGAATGGTTTTACAATGTTGATCATCCCAGAAAGAGATTTCTACTGTGGCAGCACATGGGAGTTCAGGGGGCAAGTCTTAAACTAAAGAAAGGAAGAGCAGCCACCTCTCTATGGCAAATAGAGTCCACTTTGCAAGAGAACAGGTCCATGAGCTGTCCCAGCCATGTGAAGGCAAGGGAAAGCTGAGCAGAGGTTGGCTGGGACAGGAGGCTTAAGATCGTGGCCCTCTGTGGACATCACAGACACATCTTTGAACGGAACTTCTTTCCTCTGTTAGTGGAAAAGCCTGGGGTCACACAGCTGCAGTGGATGAAAGAGGCCATTTCTGTCCTGTGCTAACACGTGAAGGTGGCTCTCCTGACTCACACATCACCCACGTCTATGGGTACGTGCTTCTACCCTGGCCATTTTAAAGCTACCAATGGTTTAATATCTGGCTTCAAAAGTCCCTGTTACTCAAAAATGTGTCCTGTAAGCCACCTCCACCTGACTCCCCAACCAGCCAGAGTGGACTGGGCAGGGATGTAAAGAGGGGAGCAGCCCCTCGTGAGGTCCTTACCAAGGGGGTGGCAGAATTGGCCTGGGATGAGGAAGCCAGACCAGGTCAAGGCCCTGGTGCAGAACTGTTGGGTGATCATGACCTTTACGTGAGGCCGTGGCCAA